GCATATTAGAATGATTTCTGAAGGATGATGTGACACTGAAGACTCCAGTAATGATGCTGAAAATTCAGCTTTGCATCACAGGAATAAATTGCATTTTAAAATAGATTACAATAGAAAACTTATTTTAAATGGTAATAATATTTAGCTATATTTACTGTATTTTTTGATCAAACAAATGTAGCCTTGGTGAGCCTAAAAGACTTCTTTCAAAAAAAATATCTCTTAAAACTTACCAACCCCAACATTTTGAACGGTAGTGTATTCCCACTAGAATTTATTAGTAAGAATAAAACTAAACACAAAAGTTGTCCTATTGTAAGAATATAGAGCTACTGTATAAAATAAATGTGGATAGCAATTCAGAACTTGCAAGTATTGGATGAGAAACGTTTGATGTCATACATCATATTGAGATTTCTCACTTTTATGTGCACTATGGGCTTTTTCACATCTGGGACGTTGGAGACTTTAGCACAGATCTCTTTTTCCTCTCTGTGTTATCTCATTTCTGTCTTGTAATTGAGATATTAAAGCTTAGAGTTTGAGGAATTTGAAAATACTTTCTTGTATTTCAGTTCTGTATTTCATCCTCAAAAAAATGTAAATATTGCGACCCTGTGACACCTTTAAAACATTGATCTGTTTGTTTGAGCATCTGGTGTGAGTTTGGGGCGGGACTATCTGTTTGCTTGACCAATGGCAGATGGGCAGTGTCATTATTTTTGCCATTTAGTTTGGCGATGCTGGTGGTACAGAAATTATGCACTTCAGCTTTAAAGAGACCTCATTTTTTATTTTACTGTATTGAGGCTTGTGTCTGTTTTGTTCTCTCACATGAACCTGCGAGTGTGTGTAGTGTGTCATCTCTTTACAGGATTACAGTGTAGGATGTGTGTGGATCCACACAGAAGGAGAGTGTGTGGCAGTTTGGTCATAAGAAGAGAGGATTCAGGATAAAGAGATTAGACCTCATGCAGATTACATGCTATTCATATTTTAGGCAGGGCAAAAGGCACTCATCTGAACGAACGCCTTGTGTGTGTGTGTGTGTGAGAGAGCATAAATGGCATAAATAACCTTATGCCATTTTAAAGAAATCAAGATAATTGTTTAGTGGTTAGTTAAACAATAAGCTACAGGACGCAGTAGTTATTTTGCAGCTTGCTGTATATATATACTGGATATGTGTACATTTATCAATATCATCAATATCATATCAGTATAATCAATTTATTCTATTTGTTTGAATCTCATAATCATTTTAACTCATTCAGTCATGCGTTTTCCACAACTAGCCATATTTAGACCATGTTCATCTTTTTAACAGATTATATTGAGTTGTTTTTACAATAAACAGATTCATGCTGATTCCAAGCAATGTATAGTCATTTTGAAAATATGATTATTGAAGTAAAATAAAATATGCGCACACTCTTAATAATAAACTATGCCAGGATTTTTTATTTGTAATTTATGTTGTAGAACAAAATTTGAACGTCTCTTTAAACAGTGCTAACCACAGACCAACATTTAGGCACAAACAGAAGAGCATTTATTAGGATGATTGTGCTGTAAGTGAGTCTGATTCTCATCAAAGTTACAGCTCTGAGCTCATTTACACACATTTACATAAGTTCACAGGAATTACACACAATTACACTCTCGCACATGCGTGTGACACACACACACACACACACACACACACACACACACACACACACACACACAGTGTGTTCCCATGTTTTC